ACGCAGCTAATATTCCACACTACAATGGGACTTTCGAAATACGATCACGCGCAATCACGTGTTGGATGGGTTTGCATTGGATGACCGCGTCGCCTTTCATCTGCGACCGCGGTTTATGCGACACTTACGATCGTTGCTGTCGTCCGACAGCAGCGGTCGTAAGTGTCGCATGTGTCGCAGATCGATACGCACCCAATGCTGTGCGACACTTGCGATCGTTGCTGTCGTCCGACAGCAGCGGTCGTAAGTGTCGCATGTGTCGCAGATCGATACGCACCCAATGCTGTGCGACACTTGCAGTCGTTGCTGTCGTCCGACCGACTATGCGTCCGGCCTATGGGGGCTGTACCTCCTTCAATGTTCCACTTTCCGGCCAATGTGGCAAAGGTTAAATGTCTTTAAAGGAAAGAAGGAGAACCTAATCTGAGCAGAATTGAATCTAGCATTTGGATCAAGCCGCATTTGCGTGGCAGCGGCGCTGCGTCCCTCTCGCACATCTGAAACTAGCATTTTTTGATATGAAACCGGATGTGCAGAGGACAAAAAGGGGTCGTATCAGAGTCCATGTTTTGGAGGGGGGTCGTAAAGAGGCGGTTATTTCCTCGACACGATTTTCACCCTGCTGCTTAGCGATACTGAACCATATGTGTGGCCTTGCAAGTATCCCAATAAGACCTAAATCAACGATCAGCTACAAATTGTAGGCTCGATATGAGGGAGCCAGCTCCTCACAGATTCCGAAATTTTTCGGGATGAATACCTCAAAGGAGAGCGTCGTCACTTGTGCCGTCTTATCGAGAATGGTGAGTTGTTCAGCTCGGCTACTAAAAGTCAAACATACAGGGTGGCCGAAAAGTATAGGACGCCATGTTTTTGTGTGTAAAAGCCAAGAAAGAGACTCGATCAGGAAACCGACTTCACACAAAGATAGAGTTAAGCTATTTGATCACTTGTGCAGAAGGTGCTTTGAATTTGACGACTCTGCTTTGAGAGAGGCCTTCTGACGTCCAACGACAAAATCAGCAGTGCGCCGCAGGTAGCCAACGGCGATGTCGTCCCACCTCTTCTGAAGCGCTAACTTCAGAGCACCCAAGCTGGAGAAGTCTTATGAGGTCTTGCTCTACAACATCCTCACATAGAGAGTCCATCGGGTTAAAGGCCTGAGAGGAAGAAGGTCACAATTCCTCAGGGAGCCCAGCTTCATTGAAGAGCAAAGGATCATAAAGCAAAATGCTCGTAAATCCAGAACAACATACCGTACCTCATTAAAGTCTTTTGCAAGACCTTCGAGTTAATTTTAACATTTGTGGAAGATGAACTCCAATGGAGCTGCACTTTTGGATGTTACCCCGTCACAAACTACCACACCTTCGGGAGAAAGTCTGTTGTAAACTAGACGTTATCTCGGAGACTTGCTCTCACTTTTTGGCAACAACTGCCTCTGACTTTGGTGGTCGCAAAGAAGTTTAGAAAATTTTCTCATCAACCCAATCCGTAAGAGAGATGCGGCGCACCTCGAGCTCGTGCAGAAACTTTTTGCATTTTATCAGTTGAATCTATTCGGGTTGCTCCAATAAAAACCAGCATAGAAAGAGTCGGTAACCTCTTCAAATAATGATTGCTTCCCAAGATTTTCTGGAAGGAGTGACGGCAGATCCTGAGATCAAAGCGATGTGACTACGCTGGTCTCATCGTTGTGAGCCATCCTCTTCTACACTGCGACGCATAATCTTAGTTCCACCTACAAATTTCCCAAAAACTAGAATTTGGAGATGTTTTTGAAAAGGCTCTACAGACAAATTGTGACACATGCAAATGCGAATCTGAATATTATCACGGAAATCCAGTTTGAGAAAGCAAAAATTTTTATCCTCATTTTTTCGAAAATACCCGACTTGCCTATGACGCAAAATCATAGTTCCACCACATGTTTCTCTGCTGCATTTTGCTTTTACCCAATCAAATTTTGAAATTATTACCCAAGTCCCTTAGCTTATAGCAAAGGCAAAACCGCTGTCGAACTTCCGTAAAAGGAAAACCCTAGCAAAAGAGACGCAGGAGTTGTTGAAGTGTCAGCTCACGCTGAATTTGTCGGGGTGGCTTCATAACGAACAAGTTTCTCAAGGATGCTACAGGATATGATTCTGGGAGGAACCCTGATTACTATCCGACCGAGATAAGCGCCGTATCGTGAGAAAATAATACGACTTTATCCAGCGGGTACGGAAATCAAAACTTCTTCAAAAGTTAGTGTCTCAATGGAAGCAGTTTCACGTGTTTTACAACACGCTCGTGACAGTCCATGTCTGGAGGATAAGAAATACGCTTTCAGTGAGAAGAAATCAAGAGATTTTTTTTTGAAACCACCACAAATTCTAGCGTGAGCTGACACTTCAACAACTGCCTGCGTCTCTTTTGCTAGGGTTTTCCTTTTACGGAAGTTCGACAGCGGTTTTGCCTTTGCTATAAGCTAAGGGACTTGAGTGGGTAATAATTTCAAAATTTGATTGGGTAAAAGCAAAATGCAGCAGAGAAACATGTGGTGGAACTATGATTTTGCGTCATAGGCAAGTCGGGTATTTTCGAAAAAATGAGGATAAAAAATTTTTGCTTTCTCAAACTGGATTTCCGTGATAATATTCAGATTCGCATTTGCATGTGTCACAATTTGTCTGTAGAGCCCTTTTCAAAAACATCTCCAATTCTAGTTTTTGGGAAATTTGTAGGTGGAACTAAGATTATGCGTCGCAGTGTAGGTAATTGCCCCAATCTTCTGAATGTGCACAGTTCTTGAACTTCCACTTTTCGCAATCCCAGAGACGTGTGCTTGAACCTTGAGAGCACCGAACATGTTTCAAAGAGTTGAAGAGGGAATACCGAGTCGCTTTCCGAAGTTGCAATTTCAGAGACCGTCATTGGGCAGCCTCTTGGTAATGGGTCGATGCAAAAAATCTTCATGGCGAGAGTTCAGATGAACTTTGGACCAAACAACTTATGGTGCTTCTTACATAGTTTCAAAGCTTTCGAAGAGTTTGAAACTGAAAATACTCCACGGCTCAGTGCCAGCAAGCGGTCAAAGCCGCGTCCTGTACTTTTCGGCCCCTGTATATCAGTGCGCGTGCTTGATGATTATGATTCTCTGAAAGAAATTAACTAGCTGGAAAGCGCAGCAGCAGTGAAATTCTCGATGTTTCACAAAATTCCATGAGAAATTCTTTTTTGAAATGTGATGGATAAGGTTTTCCCAGAGCACAAGTTTGTTTGGCGGAGGCCAGAGCCCTAGAATATACAAACGTTGCCTGAGGACAATGGTCATTTTTTCTTCACCTTCACTAGAACCTTGCACACTGGACTTTTACCAATATGAGTCTTCAAAATTATCCTCCCCTGATGTTTTACTGTCGGCTTCTGCAGCGGCTGAAGCGCAGCTTCTCTTGTTTACCGACAGATCTGTTACAAGCCACACCTCATCAAAAAAGTAAATGGAATGTCCACGCATTAAACAGCTATCGTATTCACGCTAATTCTCAATAGCTCCGGTCATTCGCTTCACAAGAAAAAATTCACGAGCCCCGATGATGTGGCGCATTCGCTGAACTAGTTTATGAAGATTCGTGCGTCTGAAGGAGGTTGTTGCAATCTTCTGCTTCATCAGTAGAAAGAGAATAGTAACAGTGATTATGCTACTGCTTGGAGTAAATATTCTATCATTTCAATAAATTTCGAAATAAAATTTGGAAACTGGCCAAATCTTTCAATACAAAAACATTGAGTAGCTTTCCGATTGGTGGTGTTCTGCGAGCTGATGTCTCGCTGACCGTCTCCTCAGAACCTACTTGAAAAACCACCCCTAAACTGCCGTTCTTTGCCACTAGGATGCGAATTTATACTACTTTTGAAACGGCGAATTTCAAAAGAAATTTTGGAATTCCTATGATTTCAGCAGTT